ATCCTAAAAAGCATGGATATTTTGCAGAATATTTACAAGGAACAAAACTTTAAAGGTTTCAGATGCTGTGCCCATATTCTAAACTTAATATCTCAGGAAGGTTTATCAACAATTACAACTATCCTAGAAAAGTGTAGAGACATTGCCTTTTCTATAAATAAATCACCCAAAATAAATCAAGCATATGTACAAATATGTGAAAATAAGGGTATTACAAAATTTAAAATCCCTTCTGATATCCCTATTAGATGGAATAGCTCCTATTTAATGATGAATACAATTTATGAGGTATTTACATTTTTATCCAATTATTTTTAAAAAATATTTAATTTTTAGAACATGGATGCTATAGAAGAAGTACTTTTTTTGAATTACAAACAATTTAAAGGGGTTTTCTTTACTGAGTGTGAAAAAGAAGAACTTAAAGAGGCTGTAGATTTTCTTAGGCCCTTCTATAAAACCACACTTGATTTATCAGGATCCAAATATCCTACAGTTGGGATTTCCATGTTATATATGGAGAATATAAATAATGAAATTTTAAATAATATAATAAAAGATAATAACAATACAAGAAAAGAAATTCTTAATAACATGCTGGTTAAAATGCAGAAATATCTCAAAGAATTATTTTGTTATGAATCATATGTCTCAACATTGTTGGACCCGAGATTAAAACAAGTTTACATGCCTAATACTCTTAATAGAATTGAGTATATGACCAAATTTTCAAACTATTTAAGAAAAATACAAAATAAAAAAAATACAGGAATAACGGATTCTCAGGTATATTTTAAATATTTATTTATTAAATCCTAATTTTCAAACATTTGTGCCAGGAGGAAATCAATGAATTTAGTTTTTTAAAAAGAATTTTATCCCAAAAAAGAAATTCAGAAGGGGATTGTATATCCTCAGAAATCATTGAAGAAAATATATCAGAACTTCACACCTATTTAAATGAACCTCTTGTTTCTTTAAAGGATGACATATTAGTATGGTGGAAAACCAATAGTGAAAGGTCTTTTATATTTTGTAAAAGTCAATATAGTTTATTATATAGATTTCCAGTCCTCTCATTAGCAGCTAGAAATTTTTTAGCAATTCAAGCAACATCTGTCCCATGTGAACAAATATTTTCGAAGGCAGGAGATCTTGTCACTAAAAAAAGGAACAGGCTTTCAAACAAAACAATACAAGCTTTGATGTGTATGGGCTCTTAATGGAATAGATCTACCGCCTCCATTAAGCCCCTCTTCTAATTCCTTCCATAGCAATTCTACAAACAATGACATTAGCATTTATTTAAATTGAATATTTGCATTAATTATTATATTATTCATAATTAATTTTATATTGTTTATATAATACTCTTATATTTAATAAAATGATAAAACAAATTAAATTAGGTTAAAAAAAATGTGTTTTTTAAACAAATAAAAAGACCGGTCCTGGACCGGTCTTTTTATTTAGGACCACGGTCTGGATCGATCTTTTTATTTAGGACCACGGTCTGGATCGATCTTTTTCTTAAGAACCGTGGTCCGGTCCGGTCCGAGGGTATTGGTCCAGTCCGGACCAAAGACCGGACCGTGACCTTCACTATCTTAGATATTGATGACTCTGATCCATCTTTTGATGATCATTTTGATATGTCTGATGAATCGGACAATAGAAATGGCATTGCACCAACCAATCTAATTAATACAAAAACTTTAAAATTAAATTGCCCTACCTGCTGGCATAGCATATTAATTATGCTAAAAAGTGTTCGCAGTGTAAACAAAATTCCTATAAATAATGTTCTAAATAAAATAGGAAAATAATCTTTAAAACTCTTTAATAATGAATGAGATATGATTGATGAGCTTTACACAGTATTGAATCTCCGATAGTCGGTGGAATTTCTTTCCTCCCAAAAGGGATCGACAATAAACTAGGGTTATTATTTCGCAGTGAAATAGAAACCCTACAAAGCAATAGATCTGATTGCTTGCTTAATATAAAATATGAAAAAAAGCTTGACCATGGGTTTCTTATTACTGAATTTCAAGTTATTTTATATTTTTATTAATAAAATTATATTTTAAACATTAGATCCTAGCAACTCTATTTGATCCCAGATTTTAAAATCTTAAAATTGTTTCAGAATATTTAAATTCGAATTTTACGACATCATTGTAATTTTTAAATATACATCTAAAAATTTAGAGCATGATAGAAATGCACAGAATGAGATTCAAGTTGAAGATAATGGGCAAGCATAGTTCTTATAAAGATAAAATAGCTCGTAAATATTCCCATCCAAGCAACGATTATAACAACATTAATAATCTAGAACAAGAATGTCATATTTTGCTCAGCCAACATAATATCCCAGAAGAGGATGCACATTAACCTTTTGGAAGAAAAACGACGGGAACTTCCTAGGCTTGCTAATTTAGCTAGGAAGGTTCTTTGTATACCTGCAACCAGTACGCCCAGCGAAAGAATTTTTTCCATTGCTGGATTAATACTCAATGCAAAAAGGACTTCTTTATGTCCCACGAATTTTGATAAAATACTATTTATTCATGACAATTATAATTTTGCTGAGTCTGAATTCTGATTTATTATATTTCATACTTTATATTTTGCTTGCATTCCAAATTTATATTTTTTGTTATAATAAAAATCAATAGAATATTACTAATATGTGTTGTTTATCGAACTCTGATCTGAATAAAAATGCAATTCCATAGTCTTTTTCTGAGAATGAGAAAATAATTTAAATTGGAGTGAGACATTAAATAAATTCAGGAATGAATTTAACTTTGTTAACAATGTGTTAGAAAAAAAAATTTAATACTTTGATTTATAAATTAAAAATTTTTTAAAATAAATATCGCGCCCCACCGAAAATTTAGTAGGCGGCGGCGAAATCAGCGCGCCGCCGAATGCCGATGAAAAAATTAAAAAATAACACCGCCGTCGATTGAGCATCGGCGCACAGGTCTAGCCACATCACATCCCGATTCTTGAATGTAAACAAAGCTAACACAGTTATGCTATCGTTTAGATCTGATTATCACACTGCTTAACTATCATTGCTTTAATTTTAAAAGGTGTCCTTAATCAATATGCGAAATACCTTACAAAATTTGTTGAAATTTATAATGTAGGTATTTTACACATGCTAGAATACATTTTCTGGCAAAATTAAATTCAAATGTCATAAAAGCAATAATGATATAGAGTTGGTAAATAGCTATTGGGGAGTTTTTTTTTAAATACCGAAAATGTAATTCCAATATATGTAGAATACCATTTTATGAATTTTAGAAAATTTGGCCATGAACCTTTGAGGTATTTTAATTTGCAAATACTGGCAATACGAAATGAGTAAGATATTAATCATTCTTGACTGATTACGTGAATTGACTGTAGCATCTTCATCGTTTATGGCTGCTTTCCAAGTTTATCCGGTTAAGCGAGTTTCCCCTCTGATCCCTTTTCTCCACTTTTTACATCCTGGGAGTCTTGTAAGAACTATTATTCCTCGTTAATCCTTCTCGAGGTTATCTCATTATTTCCATTGAAGTACAACTCATCACGTGCTCAACCCACCTCAATCTATTTCTTCTCATCAGCATTCCAATAGCTTCTATTACAATCCTTTCCCGCCACATCCCTTTGACCATTTTCATCTCCGTTCTTTCCAATTTAGTTTCCTCACGTTTTTCCACCGTTAGCCTATACAGCTTCTCATACAGTTTGCACAAACTATACGAGTTTTTTTTTGTTAGAATAAATTACATCTTTCGGAATTTCTTACATACATATTTATCAGCAGAATCGGCACCTCCATTGATGTTCAGCATGTCACATTGCCAAATCGAAATCATCTTTATCTACGTTATTAGACAAATTTTACATATGTTCTACATAAAGTTGTGCTTGCTAGCATCATTCTTTCTTTTTCACTACTACCTTTTTATGCACCATCTAGCTGCTAGGGCATTGAATTAAATTTCTAACAACATCTTTCTCACATACACTACATTATCAAATGCCTGTTACCTCCTAATTTGCTGATCCCTTGCTTTCAATCATCACCTTTCTCCTTTGGTTACTTTTAAATCTTTGGTTCCATAACTGTCTTCAATATGATTATCTTATCTTACTCTGGTTGTCTTGTTGCCAGTAGTTCAAGATCTTCATCATATAGAAGTGCCCATGGAGTCTTCTACTATCTATCTCGTTACCACTTTCATTACTATGATATATAATAATGGATTCAAGACGATACTTGATGCATCCCCACCCAAAGCTCTCGCTATCACCATCGTGTCGTTTCCTAACGCATTCGGGCAATACGTCATCACTGCCAAAACATTCATCTACACCTGATTTACTCAAAACCGATTTTGTAATCGCATGTCCTCTCAAACGCCTTCACCAAGTCTACAAAAACATAATAAGGTGCCTCTTATTCGCCCGATATTTTTATTGGATTACCACTCACATCCGTAGCTCCTTCCCGGGATTAATAAACTGCATATCATCGCTTCTCACTTGATATTTGCTAACATTTTCTCGAAACGAAGCTAATCCGTTTGATACGAGCCACTATATATCGGATCATCATTTTTCTTGAGTTAAATACGCATTTTTTCCAGTCCTCTGCGATACTAATCATTGCACATATCTGTCATTCATTCCATTACCTTCATCATTTCTGTCATATATTGGGTCTGTTGTTTTACCTCTCTTCATCTTATTTAGCGTTTTCCTAACTTCACCTTCAGAAACTACAGACAGAACCTTCAACTTTATATCGCACATCTTTATCCTATAGTATTTTTTCCATATACTTCTTGCACCTTTTTCATTTGTTTTGCGATCCTAATCATATATCATATTTCTCTTTCCTTCCTTAGTTCCCATCTCATTAGCGAATATACGCCTTTTCGAATCTTGCATAATATAATAATAAACAAACATATTTTTTTATTTTGAAGATTTACGACCTTATCGATTGTTTTTTGGTCAATTCCTCTTGCAAATTTTGGAAACAATTTTCAAACTACGTATCTTTGGGTACCTTGTAATTATTTTATTTTATAATTTATTTATTTTAAAGATTTTCATTTTCTATATCGTCATATATATATATATCATCCTTATAATATTAAACTACTTTTCTTATCAGTGAAACGTCATTTTTTTTATTCAAATTTAGATGACATGACAAATTTACAGAACTTATATTAAAAAGATTATGTATCACTTGATAAACATCTTTATCGTTAGGAATTATTCAATGCAAAAATCGCTTTAAATTATTTGATATTACCAGTTAGCATATAGAGATAAATATTGTTAGTCAGGACATCTCAGAAAACTTTCATATTTCAAAAAAAGTCATAAATGGGTCATTCAATTTCGAAAAAACATTAATCGAGATTTTCGGCTGATGCTTCTATTTCGGATTTATAGGCACGTTATATATGTTTTAGTAATATCTGAAAAGAAATTTTAGCTCATTATCAAATATATTACCTAGATAATAGGGCTTTTTTTGACCTTTTACTGATGTTAAATAATTAGTTTTTAATTAAAAGCTTAATTAGTTCGAACATTGAATCTAATATTAATAACTAAATCAATAATAAATAATTATGATGGAAGTATAAATTAAATTTTTATAAAAAATATTGATCATCTTGTGTCCATTTGAAAATTTAAAATTAATATTTCGAATATATCAGGAGCTTCCATTTTTCTGTTTTCTATTATTCTTTTACAATTTTTCTAATAATTTCGTCAATAATTAGCAGAGTTGTTAAAAGATACTTTATAAATGGATCTAGATACAGATACATAGTCTCAAAAGTTATCTAGATACAGATACAGCGTCTAAAAAGTTATCAAGATACAGATACAATTTTTAAATATATCTGTATACAGATACATTTTTTATAATGCTCTTATAGGTTTGCATAAACCTAAATTAATATTATATTGTGAAAATTCATGAAATGAGCTAAAAAATTTATTGACGCGATATAACATTTATCAGAATATAACTAAAATAATGATTTTAATATAATATATGAAAATTGATTAAATAATTATAAATAATTATTAGATTTCAGTAATAAAATATTTTCAAAATTTTGATCATTTAGGCATCCTCGTTTATCTGTAAAGACATTTTTAGCAACACTAAATAGTCTTTCCACAGGGGCGCTTGAAGGAATTGTAGTGTTATATTCTTTTACAAGCCAACACTATATTTTTTCTTTCCAAACTTATTGGATTTATATAGTGAGCGGTTACTCCTATGTATGAACTAAAAATTAAAATTTCATAAAATTGCTGAAATAATTTATTCTTAATTAATTATTATACAAATTGAAATGTTAGCTATACCGGCGATAGGCACTCCAACAATCTGCTGTTGTGCATATTAATGATGGTTCTATAAGACTTTTAATTATTTCTTTCTTTTCATTTTCCCATCTTTGGGAAATTCTACCAACAACTAACTGTCTGTCGGCAAATTATATTTTTGTGTGGAGCCAAAGTGTTGATCATTTTTTTAAAAGAAGGATTTTCAACAATTGAAAATGGCTGCATGCCATCTATAATAAAAGCAATAATTAAATCATCTAAAGTGCCTTGAGTTAAAGTCAAAGGTCTTTTAGCAAAAATATTATTGGAGGATGAGCCTTGTCCAATATTTTCTTTGGTAGTTTTATTTTCCTTCCCCTTTTTTATTTTTGTTAACAAGGTTGGATGTTTTCTCTTAAAATTTAAATTAGAATTTTAAATATATAATATCTATACCCTTATGTGCTTCAAGATATTGCACGTTGAAGTCATACTGACGGATATTTTTGTATTTTTAGGTAGACACGGCAAACATTTTACCATCAGAGAATTGTTTTCTTTGTTTTGAGATATTATTTTAAAATATGCTCTATAAATTGGCCATGGTAAAGCAATAGAACTTGTTGTTGCTTCCTCTTCTTCATCGATATAGATCTAAATAAATATATAAACTTAAAAATTTAGTTATAAAATAAAATTTACCATTTCCATATTGTAATATTAAAATTTGTATGGTTTATTGATAAACTCGGACATAATATTTAAATTAATGAATATTTATATATATTTTTTATATATAAGTTTTAATATTTTATGTATATATAATTCTTTATTATAGTATTAATAAATATTAATATATAATATATATATATTTATTTATTTCATAAGCTCATATGAAATAAAATAAATTTTACAGTCAAATATTTTTATTTATAATAAAAAAAGGGGTATATAAAATGTATCTTAAAAAGTATCTAAAAACAGATACAGATACCTCTAAAATAATATCTAGATACAGATACCTTTCTAAAAAATCTATCTAGATACAGATACAGATACTACATTTTTATATCTAGATACAGTGTATCTAGATACTTTAACAACTCTGATAATTAGTATGGCTGGTTAATTAATAATAAAAAATTAAAGTTCCTTGCATAATCTATAAAAAAACATAGATGCTTATGAATATTTCAATGCAATTAAAAGGGTTTTTTTTTTATAAAATTTATTTTTATCTTATAAAATATGGTAAAAGAATTTTTTTTCCAATATGCATGATATTACTTGTAGATCAATTTTAATACCTTGAAATAAATTTAAATGATAAAAAAAATCTTTTATTGCAATGAAATGTTTAATATATAACACCATCTATACGTTTTTTGTACACTATTTGCTATATTTTTTGAAACAATTGCTCAATCGCGCTAATTGTTGAAGAAATTATAATAAAAATACTAGATAAATGATAAAAAGTCAAATTAGAAATATTGAAGTTCATAGAAATATTAATTTTAAATTTTCTACTAGACATAAAATAACTAATATTTAAAAAAAATAATTTTGATGTTTCCCCCTTAATTATCAGTTATTGGTTAGTTATTATTATTAATATTAGATTCAATATTCAATTCGTTTTTAATTTAAAACGAATTGTTTAACATCTGAAAAAGGTTAAAAAGCCGTTTTTTATACATTTAATTCCCATTATCTTAGCTAATATAATTGCTAATGAGCTAAAAACTTATTAGAACAGATATAACTTGCCTACAAATTCCTATCGATTATGAAAGGCGTCTGCCGAAAGGTGCTTGATTTGACATGCAATGACCCAAATACAAAGATATACGATAGATCGTTATTAATAAATAGACATAATAGTTTTTAAAAAATAAATTATTTTCTCTTCTCCAATCACCACTAAAATTGCCTTATAAATTTTTTTTTAAAAAATCATTAAATATATGATTATTTTCTTGTATAATATATTATTATGTTGGCATAGATGTGTTTTTTTCCGGGAATGATTTATCTTTTAAAACTTCAATTCATATTTTGAGTGCGTATTTAAATTTAAAAAAGCTAAATTTGCCGGAAATATATTCGTATGGGCAAAATATACTACATATTCTGAAATTAAAATATTTTGCTATTAACTTTTGAAATATTAATAATTTACATTCCCGTTTCTAGGGTCTCAAATTGAACCTCGAGCAGAAACCCCGGGTTTTGAAAATTTTTTCTAACCTGAACCTGAGTTCAATCTGGTTCAGTGAATTTTATATTTACAATTTATTATATACGATATAAATCCAATATTATTGATATTACTTGGTGATGATGCAATTAGGTATCTTGTTAATCTGTGGAGTCGGATTAAAACAATATACACGTCCATTTAAACTTATGATAATAGTTCGGATGAAGTTATTGAACAAGATGATTTTAGAGAAATTGATACAACTTAAAGAAAGGCAGGAGAAAATGCTTAAAAAATGTGCTAACGATTGCAGAGAAATATATTGGAACGATAATTACTCGATTTCCCTATTTTTAAAGATTGGATACGAAGGAAAATATTATGCATTTTTGGGAGTCTGCTAAGTTGCAGCACCCTGATTTATAATATTTTATCTAAAATCTAATTTGCTGTTCCTCCTCAAGTTAATTTGTCATACTTTCATATAAATATATTTAATATAGGTAACGTTGAAAGATCTTTTTCACTTTTGAAATTCATTCTTTCACTGCAAAAATCGAAAATGAGCGAACTAGTTTTGGAAGAGATTATGCTAATACGTTTAAATAAAAAAAAATTCAAATTGATACATGACTATGCTTGTGTTTTTAAATATATTTAGCCTATAAATAAATTATAATTTTATATTTTATTATACCAAATTTATATCTAGCCTTATAAATTTTGATTTAAATTTTTTTAACTGGTCATTAGCTTCCTTATTTGAATATCAAGCTGAACCCTTAACCAAACTCGGGTTCAAAAATATTCCCCTGAACCGAATCCGAATCGAACCCGTTCCGATTTTTTTTACCTTGAACCGACCTGCATTTTTCCAAATATTTCATATACAAATTCAGAGTTGTTAAATATCTAGATGTAAAAATACGATATATGTATCTAGATATTTTTTTTAAAGTATCTGTATCTAGATATTATTTTCGAGGTATCTATATCTGTTTTTAGATATTTTTTATGATACATTTTAATATACTTATTTAACGCTTTTTTATATTATAAACATAAATACTTGAACGTAAAGTTTATTTTATTTCATATGAGCATATAATTTAATTATATATATATATTTTAAAAAATATTAAGACTACTATAATAAAAAATTATATATATATATAATATTAAAACTTATATAAAAAATCTCAAATCTGCCATTTTTATTTTCAATGGAATTGGTTAATTTTATTTTATTATACTAATTTTAAAAATTTATTTTATATTAATATAAAGAGGAAGATGTAATAATCAATGGAACATCATCAATTTGAGACATTATTTTTCCTTGGCCAATTTATAGAGCATATTTTAAAATAATATCTCAAAATAAAGAAAACAAATCTGATAGTAAAATGTTGCCAAAAAATACCAAAATTTCAGTTAGCATTACCTCAACTTGCAACATTGTAAAATATTTAAGGGTATAGATACATAAATGTTTACAATTGTAATTTTAAAAGAAAATATCAAACACTGTTAATGAAAATAAAAAAGAGGAAGGAGAATAGATCTATTTAAGAAAATATTGGACTAGGATCATCGTCCACTGATATTTTTGCCAAGAGACCTCAGGCTTTAACCCAAACCACTTTAGATGATTCTCTTGATATTTTGCAGGGAGATAAATATATGTACACAGCTTTTTACTGTGCAACCATTTCACAGCTGATTATCAAATTGAAGAATTTTAAACAAATGAACATGGAATTTTGTTTACTAATCCTAGATGTCTTACTTAAAGGGATTGAAGATAGGTAAATTAATAATAACAAATTAATCAATATTTAATAATTCTAGGTTTATTGGGACAATATTTGAAGATGAAAATATTATAGCAACTATGCTCCATCCTTTTTTAAACTTGATTGGACATGGTTACAAATGGATAAAAATTAAAAATAAACAATTAATACAAAGATTAGTTGATGAATTATCAAGGTCTTCAACTGATTGCAAACAAATAACCTGTGAAAAAAAACAAATAATTTAATATCTGATTTTTTTCAGTACCCTACAGCAGCAGATATGATTGTTAATAATGATTTAAATTTTGATGCTTAACAAATTTTATATAATTTTTTCATGTCGAGATTTTAGTATTTTTAAAAATATCCTGATATAAAATTGTTATTCATAAAATATAATACCACAATCCCTTCAAGCGTCCCGGTAAAAAGACTTTTTAGTGTAGCTAAAAATGTCTTTACAGATAAACGAGCATGCCTTAATGACCAAAATTTGAAAATATATTACTGAAATCTATTAAAATAATTTATCATATATTATATTAAAATCTAAAATCATTATTTTATTTACATTTTGATAAATGTGATATTGAGTAATAAATTTCTTTAGCTCATTTCATGAATTTTCACAATAGAATCCCAATTTAGGGTTAAGCTAACCTTTTATAAGAGTATAATAAAAATTGTATCTGTATTTAGATCTATTTAAAAAGTATTTTTAACAACATTATATAAATGATAAAATATTTAAAATTTAACTGCAAAATTGTCAGTATAAAAAAAAGCTTCAAATTTTTGAGTAAAAATCTTTTTTATAAAAATAATTATTTTGTCAAACCCTCTAAGTGTTGGAGTACATTTTAAAATTAAATTTAGAAAACGCGCTCAAATAAATGATTTAAAGTTGAAAAAAATTAACATCGCCGAGGAAAAACACATTCATTATAACATTATATTTGATTGTACTTGAATAGATCCCCGGCTTCCTTCCCTCTCTTATTACGTTAGCGTTAGAGACAGAGTACAACCCTACACCCAATTAACCCAGCTCACACTGGCCTACTTGACTGTGAATAATATCGATTCCGATATAAAAACCCAAAAGGAATGTTTTGATATGAATATTCGACAATCTGTAATTAACTATTATTATTTTTTGATAAATACAAATTGCATTAGTATGCTTTTTGATTCATTTTGTTCAGTGAAAAATTTAGCTTTAAAACTTTTTCTTAGAACCTTAATATATGTATAATTATTTTTTAAAATTTCTTCCTAGCTGGTAAGTATTTTGAGGGGTTTTCTTAGTTAAATTTATAAAATGGCCTCACTATTTTATTTTGAAGCGTGAGTCTATTAATATTTTGTGAATGTATACTTGTTATTTAAATAAATAAAATTTATAATTATGATTCACATTTTAAAATGATTATCAATGTAAATTATTTATTAATTATTTTTTTTATAGGTATCTCATTTATCTCATGAAATATCATTCGAGATAAAATACTATAAATTTCTATATCTTTTATACTTTTTTTATTTTACACTAAAAAAAATTATTTTTAATTCATCGTTTCTAATTACTTTTTTAAAGAAAATTTTCAATCAAAAATTCTTTTAGAAATTAGGACTTATCCACTTATTTATCATCATTTTTTAAAACTTTTAATTGAATATTCAATTATATCTTAAACAACTCATAAAATTCTATACCACAAATATTGTTAATAAATCTCTTCATTTGAGCCGAATTTCTTTTAGCCGAAAACTAATGTTCAGCATTGAGATTTAATCTTAAAAAAAATACAGCTAAACCTTACAAACAATAAAAACTTATAAAATTACACTTATAATTCACAGATTTATTCTTATATCTGGTTCCCTTCATATATCGGGCTCCATGATGTCTCTAACAAACAATACCCCGCTTGCGCGGCAACCTTGACCTGGTCCCATAAATCTGCCCTATCTTCCCCTTGGGTGGAAAGCACATGGAGTGGTCCCGCTTCTTTACGCCTTTATTTCAGACCCAACAGGCGTTTAGATTACGCTATTCTAGCCGTCGGTTTAAGGTTAAATTACTTTATTATAAACGCAATCTGAAAATTATACGATGCTTTATTAAGCTAAAAAATAGATCTTCCTTTATTTATATAAAAAAGTTTATTGGTGGAGGGGGTGGGGGGATAAAATTAACCAATTCGATTTATTAATTTGTTGATTCGTTATATAAAGCTTTACTGGTTTAGCACTAGTTTTCAGTCTCTTTTTCACGAGGTATGCCGATACGTTATTTACTACGCCAGCTGATTCGAGGGAAAGAGAATCAGATGCCTCCAACAATTCTAACCCGATTCCGGAACCAACACAATTGAATTATTAGTTCTGGATATTAATATGAAATCTAAATGAATTGAGGATATATTCACAAGAATATCTAATATCCGTTTCGTTATTTTATTAATTTTAATTTAGATATTTTGACTGGAGGTCTGTGAATTATCTTCGAAACCTTGATCAAATATTCCTGGTTTTTTTAATAAATTTGATAGATTATAATGATGTTTACAGATTCGGTATAATTATAAAATAATGAAATTGTGATTAAAAAAAATACTTCCTATCCTATACTTCTCTAAATGAAAAATGATAATATATGAATAACTAATTTACGAATATTTATATGAACTTTTTTACAACTGATTTTATCAAATATAATTCATGATCTTATTTATTTAATTTTTTAAATATGAATTTTTGTTTTCGGATTACATGAAAAATAACTATAACACCACGCTTAAAAACTTAGCAACGAAAAATTAATTTAAACGATTTATCGAGTAGTGCTTAAAATAATGGAACGAACAGATTGGAATCTAAGAATCGGATAGAACTTTAAAAAATGCGATTCTTATAATTAATCGGCGCTAAGAACGAAATTATTTGAAAATACTTTTAATGATTAAACTTGTTGATTTTATAAAATTGTATCTTATTTTTATATGGATATTTTTGTATCAATGTAAATGTAACTTATTATTTTGATTAAAATATTTTTTTTTAATTTATCTCACATTCACCCTAAATAAATTATGATAAATCGAGAATCTTTTTAATACCATAATATCAAAAGAATGAATTAGAACCAGAACTTAAAGTCATAAAGGTTCAGATTTTTATAAGTAAGCGGAAAATAATTCCCCGGAAAAACAGCACCGTTGGATTGTCAAATTGAATTAAGACGTGGTGATTATATTCCATTTGCTACTTCTTTACTTGTGGGTGCTTTTTAGTGCATATCTCTACATGATTTAGTATTCTCTCTGGGGAGAATTATTGCGCTTAATTAAATAGTTTTTTTATTTAAATAACCATTTAGGTGGCATTTACTTTATTCTTCTTCTCCGTTTTATGGCGATTTCTAGGTTTACTCGAGTAGGCCAGTTTTCCCTCTAATTTTTTTTTCCCATTTTTGACGGTCCTGAGCATCAATATTTGTAAGATTCATGCTTCTCATATCCGCCGCTATCACATTTGTCCACGTCATCTTGGGTCTTCTTCTAGGTCTTGATCCTCCAACTTCCATCATTCTCAGTCAGCTTTTGTCATACGTTCCACATGCACAAACCATCTTAGTCTATTTCGTCGCATTACCATTCCAATCATTTCTATACCCAATCTTGCTCGCAATTCCTTGCTAGTTTCTCTCTCTCTCAGAGATACCCCACACATCCATCTAATCACCTCATCTCTATTTTTTCTAATTTGGCTTCGTGAGTCGTTCATTGCCTATGTTTCGCCGCCATAAACTATACAACTCCTCACACAGTTTACATAAACTTTCCCCTTTAACTTCAGAGAGACTTTTATTTGTAAGAATAGACGACATCTCTCTGAACTTCTTCCAAGCTTGTCTGGTCCTTGCAACAACGGCAGAATCTACACCAGCATCTGCGTTTAGCATATCACCTAAATAACAAAATTTATCCACTTTTTCTAGGGTTAACTCATTGCTAATATCCAGACCACCATTTTTTAGGTTATCATTATTATGTATCTATTTAATGCATGTTCTACAAATAAAGGTCATACTTCCTAACATTAAACTTCCTTTTTTCCCGCTACATCTATTATGTACCCATTTCTAGCACCTGGTGCATTTGATAGAATTTTTAGCAACTCCTTTCCCACATACACCACAAGGCCCCTTACCGGATTCCTCCATCTTTAGATTTTCCCCATCAATCATCACCTTTGTCTTTGATCCATTCATTTTTAGGCCCTTTGCTTCCATAGTCATCTTCCATTTACTAATTTTATCCCTCAATTCTTCCTCACTGTTTGCCATTAATACAAGGTTACCTGCATATAATAGCTACCAGGGAAATCCTTCACGCATTTCTTTAGCCACCACATCCATTACTAAGGTAAATAATAATGGACACAGCACGGATCCTTGATAAAGTCCTACCTTCACCTCAAAGCTGTCACTATCACCATAATCCGTCCGTACTGCTGTTTGTGCTGCCATCACTGCTATAACCAACCATTGTCCACACCTGATTTTCTCAAGGCCCATCTAGTAACCTCACGCGGCACCCTATCAAATGCTTTCTCCAAATGAACAAACGCATAATAGAGTTTCTTTTCCTTCGCAAGATACTTCTCCTGCATTTGTTTCACCACAAAATCTGTCCTTTTCCCGATGTAAAACCAAACTGCATTTCATCAATTTTAATTTGTTCCCTTATCCGCTTCTCTAACACTCTCTCAAATACTTTCATTGCATGTTCCAAGAGTTTAATAGCTCTGTAAGGCCCGCAATCTAAAGGATCACCTTTCACCTTGTATATTGTATTAATTATACTTCTTCGCCAGTCCTCGGGAATATTCCTTCTATTACAATTTGATTGGCTAAATTCATTAACTATTCAATCCCTAAATCATCAGAACCGTTAAACATCTCTGATACCACCATCGTTAAACCCGATGCCTTCCCTCTTTTTATCTTTTTCACTGCTCTCTTTATCTCGTCCTTGTCAAATTTACACCCTGAACCTTCTACCTTTGCACAACTAACATTATTATCCCATTCATTTTCTTCATTCAAAAGCCTTTCATGTAAATCTTCCAGGTGTTCTTAATACCACTATTATCAATTACAGTTTTTCCTTCCATATTTTTCAAACACTTTACACCTATCACATCCTCCCTCTTTTTTGACATCTGCTTTGCCATTCGAACCATATTTCCAATTCCATCAGCGCCTTCCATTTCTTTAGCGAACTCGTGTCTTTTTTCTTCTTGAGCCTTCGCTATTAATTTCTTAGCATTTCTTTTAGCCATCTTGTAAGTATCGTTATCACTATTTTCTTTGCTATTATACCATACTTTGAAACACCTCCGTTTCTCATCCACAGCTTTCGCTACATCCAGGTTCCACCACCAAGACTCCTTATGTCTAGGCGGCCCTTTTGTCCATCCACATACCTCCTCAATTATCATCACCCAGGATTTCTTCATAGCTTCCCACTTGTCATTTGCCCCAGATGCTTGCGCCACCTCCGCCTCACTAATCGCCAATGTCATATTGAATTGACGTCTAGCACTCTCCTTCAATTTCCATACCTTCATCCTTGGCACAAACTTTCTTTTAGTGACCCTGGCACCTTTAAGAGAGATCTCCTACAACTAGTCAATGCTGATTTATACATTCTCTCCCGGTATCACTTTACATTTTTTTACTATACAATTCATTGATCACATCTCCTTAATAAAATGAGCCACTTCTGGTTCAATTCCCAATCGTGTACTTTTTCAGGCCCTTCTCGGATTCTTTTTTAAACATTGTATTACAGACAATCATTTCCATAGCATCATTAAAATCTAAAATCCTCTCTCCTTCCAAATTTTTCATGCCGTAACTGAACCCTCCATATACTCCATCATAACCCTCACTACTCGCTTCCATATGTCCATTCAGATCACCAGCCAGGATAATCCCCTTTTCATTTGCCAGTCTCGATGTTACCCCCAATAGACTGTCCCAAAATATATCTTTCTCTCACTTCGTCCAACCTGAGGAACATATGCTGAGATAATATTATATAGCTTTCTACCAAAAATCATCTTGATAACCATTATCTAGTTATCGCCTTTTCACTTTGACTACTTTGTCTACCAATTTCTCAACAACCAATACCCCAACTCCAGCCTTACCATCATTACTTCCTTGCCAAAAGAATTTATATTTTTCGCTAGTCTTGGCAATCATTCTGGTCATTTCCTTTCCATCTAGTGTGCTGTATTCAACACACATCTATATGCCTTCTGTGCAATACATCGACTACTTCTCCCGCTCTTCCCGTCATACTCCCTACATTCCATGTCGCGACCCTAACTCGATCCCCCGTAGACTGGTTTCTCCACTTATTATCAGGTCGTTTATGGCCGTCTTAAGTTTTATTTTCATGAATTGTGGTTCCACCAGGTTTCCCATCCTTCTTTTTGTCGTAGACGGATGAGGAGGCCCACGGGGTACTTTGGGCTGTACCCCGCCATGCTTTGTTGTAACCACAGGGAAATTTTATAGCAAGGTTTTTATAATCGGATGCCCTTCCTGACATCAACCTCTTTAAGTGGTTTTTACACCCCGTCGAGGAGACGGTGATCCTATTCTAGACCCAGATCACAGGGAACCTTTTAGACCTCCATTAGCCGCCAAAAGACGTATGGCATTTACTTTATAATTTGAATATATTTTTAACTTAACATATAGTTGAGCTGTATTGCAAATCCTCTTAACGTATTTTTTCTAAAATCTTTCCGTTGAAATAAACCAGTTATGCCACCTTGCTACGTGGACGCTGGTCAGTTTTGAAACGCCAATACCGCCTATAAGAGGTAACATTTGGAAGCACCGCGGAATTTTTTATTATTATTAGATAAGCGGGCAGATATCGGGCCCATTAATAAAATTTATGAGAAAGGATGTGTTATTATGGTTTTATACTATATTTATAAAATAATCAATTTTCATCGTTGCCCTCTTTTCAAAAATATTTATCTTTTTTTTTATTAATGAAGATTCATTTGCGAGGTAGTAGCATATGATAAAAATTGTTTGGAGTAAAAAAAATTCAAAAATATATAGAGTTGCACATGATTTATTATATATTTGCAATAAATTAAATAATGGCTATATGGTTTGTACATATTTAATTTAATATATTTTTTTTATTTCTAGCTTTTACCTTTTCTGTGTTAAGTTCCTTCAATGTCACTTTCCATTTTATATTATTAATACAATCCATTTTATTCAATTTTTTAGTTGGTGATATTAGCTTTAAATTTATGGGCCTATTGAAGTTTTGTTTTCTCTCTTTCGTTTACCCATCACTTCTAGACTTTTACCCTTGTTTCCTATATTGTTTTTAGGCCTTCTCATCGTATGCACATTCCACATAAGTCTGTTCAACATGATCTTTGTCTTAATGGTACTATCCTTAAATTTTCAGTATTTTTATATTTCATATCATATCATTTTTTGATACCTCAGATATCATCTCAGCATTCTTATCCATTACCTGCATGCTTCTCTCATGTGATCATTTTCTTGACCATGTTTCCAAACTGTATAGGATGGTTGATTGAACTATATTTTCCCTTTTAATTTAGCCATTCTTGGTTTATATAATTTTTCTTTCGATTCTGATATTTTTTGTAAAGTGGACACCTATCATATACTCTGTTTTTTTAACATTTAATCCATGCTTTTCTAGAATATCTATTCAACTCGCCAATCTCTCTTTCATATTTAATACAAATGATGTTATGGCTGATTTTCATAATCTCAATTATGTAAGCAACTTTGTAAATTATTATTAGCTGTGTAAAAGATATATATTTTGATATTAGAAGTCAGCTTTCTGGCCTGTAAACATATACAATATATGTTTACTCGCCGAAATTTCCCAATTTTTTTTAAGGCCGGATAACCTTTACAAAATTATTTTACTGGCAGGGTTGAAAAACCTTTTTAAAACTTTCCAACGCCGGTATGGGTCGCGCTGACCCCTGATTATATTAGAGCCCAAGCATTTGTCCAAGTCCTAACCTTGAGATTTTGGATTTAAAATAGGTTATATGACCTTCACGTTGGCAATTAACCTTATTTTCTTGTCATTGCGGTTTATTGTTTATAAAAAAAACTTATTTTTTTGATATTCACTTTTTTCTAACTTTAAAGAAAATATATATTAGGTAAAATAAGGCATCATTTAAAAAAAAATTCTTTTAGGGTTAATTGAAAAAATAATTGGAAATAAATTACATTGTCCCAGTGATTATAAAATTAAATAGTGTGATTCTGTTATAAAATTAATATATAATTATAGCTTTTAATTTTAACGAATAATTTTGCTACAAAATTTATTTTAGATATTTTTCGACACTTAAAAATTTATATTAACATCACCGATAAAATATATGATGATCTTTTTGGGAATATGTTAAATTTAATTATTGACTTATAATATAAAGATTAATGAATAATCTGATCAGGTTGGCAAGTCGATCAATGGTCAAATTTGGTCAATTTAAAAGTATGTTTGACCGTTACTATTTTCAAATACTATAAAATGTAATTTTTGTTAAATATATTATAGTCACTTTGTTAGAATACCATTACAGTTGTTCTATCTGTCTAGAGTCATACACAGGGTGCTCGGACTCTGGTCTGGCTTGTAACAGTTAAGATATTTTTGTTTTATCTAAGATCTATTCAATTTAAATAGCTTCAGATTTTTATATTTATAAAATTGTTTTTAGAATGTTTCCAAATTTAAAAATAATGTATCCTTAGATATTATTTTAGTTAAACTAAAATTCCAATTTTTATTATTGTGCTTGGGTCAAGCTCGAACACAAAAAATTTAAAATTAGGGTTCGGGCCGCTAGGAAATTACTTTACAGTGCTCTATGTGTGACCGGCCTAAACATCTTAACAAAACTGATCCCTAACCCTAAACAATATTTATAAAAATAATGATAATTATAGTAATTTATATATGATAAAAATTGAATTAGACAACTGTCTACTCACTCGACTTGGGAATATGAGGGGTGTACATCCCATATTTTATTCCATAATATCTAAAATAAAAAAGGAAACCTATTTTTAAGATGTTTTGCAAAATAAGATAGTATCAATAAAAATTAAAATATAAGGAAATGCTTACTAAGGGTACCTTGCCTAAACTAATTAACCGTTTCACGTCAATAAGAGTCCTTATTATAATAAAGAGAAGAATACGCCCTGTTAATAACATAGAGTTTCAAACAATCTCTTGGACAGCTTTTGGGGATATTTTGTATTTAAACGGAAAGTCCTATTAAATTCCCAATTTATCATTTAAATTTTTTTGGATAAGCCCACTATAAAAATAAGCACGAATTCTTGTACATTAATTCGAAGTGCTTTTCATCTTCAATATTGTAATAAATATAAATTTTCAAAAGAGTTCTATAAGCATCCGTCGTTAAAGAAATTGCTTGTGATATATTATATTATGAGAAATA